TTACTGCAGCCTTTTAGCTTTTATATTATATTCATGTTGACGCAGTTGACGAGTAAGGCTCAAAATGCATCATTTTGCTTTTTGTCTTCTCATTCGCATACTAGCCTTGGTAACTTATGCTATAAGATCCACATGTCACATTTTATTGATTCTCTTACTTGACATATGTTTTCCCCGAAAGTTGCTTTACTTTTTGATCACGTCTTTTGTTTCTTTTAGGCACTTATGTTGCCATCGACGTCTGTCTTTCTCAGGCTGCTGTAGAGGGCTACGTCGATGTGCCTGGTGTCGTGGCTCGCCTACGTCGCCAGCGTGCCTGTTGTATTCAGGTCGGCAAGCAATATGTCTTCGTCCATCTTGCTTTGGCTAAGCGCCTCTCTCAAATGATGACCACTAAATCAACGGACAGCTGCAAAATCTCAGCGCCCAACCCATGATTTGGCACAGTCAAAAGTTACTTGACTCTTTCTTATCACGACCGCTAATCTGGTTATTTATTTATTGTCCGACTTGAATCACCTGACCACTGGTTATCTTTACTATCATTTGCCCACATATAAATACATCTTTGTTCATGCACAGATTTCTAGATGTATACACATTTTATTTCCAAATATGTATTTATCTTGAGGCCATTCTCATTTGATGTCAGACTATTTGCGTGATTTGACAATTCCAGCCTCACTCCTTACCCAGCCACTTGACTCAAAATCTATTCTGAAAGTTGGACTTGAACTTGAAGGACATCATTACTGAAACTTATACCTCATTTTCGAATACCATATTAGTTCATATCACTGCGCCAAAAAGGAGATATTTTGCTTAAAATGTTGATGCAAATTTATCGATACAAGATTAGAAATGAGTAGAGGGGGCTGATAGATTGGGGGATTGCTTGAAAGACGAGAGGGAATAGTTTAATAGGCGTCCACATGGAAGTAAAGAAAACTGATAAATATATTGGACCAGTCAAAGAGCTGGAATACTAAACATCTGAGTAAAGGAATGATTAGATAGACGATTATCCGAGTGGATAGATGCGTGATATATCAAATAGTTATATTAATGGCCTAATGGTTTTTTGATAAAAATTTGTCATTAGCTTTTTAAAGATTCGATTGGATCGTTAACCGGTCTTTGAGAATAATGCATAAGATCATCGGAATGAATAAATGGATTGATAGGTGTTTGCATTACTAGATGAATGGGGTGACAGTGGTAAACCAAAGCGAAGACGGATATATAGATGGGAAAATTATTTCAGAGGTGGTCTGCTATCAAGTCATCATCCCTTCCCTTTATAATCCCACTATTTGTATACATCTTTCCTTCATGAAATTGTTTCCCTAACATTCCTGTTAATTTTGTCCTTGTTTTTAAAATACTATTCTGACGTTCTTGATCCGCTATTGAGGATCAACTCTCCCATAATCTGTTTCATGTGTATAGTGCTATTCCATTCCCTCATACGATCTAAAATCTCTCAATTTGCCTCGTTTTAACATTACAGCTGTATAGAACTGTTGTCTCATTGCAACACCAAAGATGGAGTTTCCTAGATCTCCTTGCCTTATTTTTTTTGATCCACTTCTATGGTGTCAATATTTTCTAAAGCGTATCCTTATCTTTTTTCTTCTCTAGTGTACAAGTGGGCAAGTTATTGTTTTTCTACCTCTGTACCTCTGTTCTATATTTTTTTTCAGTACCTCCGCTTATTTTTCAGAACCATATTTCATAAATAAAGTATACGCTATGACACGTGCTTCAGATTTGATAAGCGCCCATTTTTAGACGGCTCTTTTTCTTCGACATCTTTTGCCGAATGTCTTATCCTCAATTTCCATCTCCTTGTTGATCTGTAGTCATTAACCTTTCTTTTCTGCCGATTGGGGCTTCGGAGTGCATCTCTACTCGAGGTAAAATAAGTAATCAGTTTAAATAACGTCTCGATTTGCGTCTAGTCCTACTCCTTTCTTTATTTTTTGCAAAATTATTATACAAAGGTACGTGCTTACATGTATGCATACATCTACCACATATGTATTGCCTTGGTGTGTATGCAAATGAGCATCCTCCGCCTTGCCATGTACATTTTTCCTCTGCAAATCCAGCTGATTAAATGAGACCGCTTCCCCATTTGTCTTGGCCTCAAGATGTAATGAACCAGGCTTTATGCCAAGGTTTTGAAGTTAAGCGTATTGTATATCGTATTTAAGATCCATTTTGTTTTTCTTTCTCTTTCATTTCAGGCTTGCTTACTTTACTAGCCAAGAGACCGGTAGCAAAGAAGGCCCTTTTCGACGGTCTCTTGACTGCTTCACCATCGAAGTGCAACCTCTCCTTATCCTGTTTTCTCTGCTCACAGGTGGAGACAAGCACGTATTGTTTTAACAGAATAACTACCTTTATTTTTATTAAAATAAATATGCTGCAAATTTGCTCGTGCATTTTTTTCCTGCTTATTCATTGAATTCTCCATGAGCTGGGATGGGAAGGATTAGGTGTTTCTATGCCTGCCTATTTGAATATCTAGTCTATTTCCTATATTTATACTCACTACTTTTGCGTATTGACTATAAAAGGCAACTGCGAGGATTTATTATGTGGCCTTTTTGGCTATACTTCTAGACTGTCCTTTGTATAACAGCTTCACACTTCGTGTGTACCTACTCTTGTTCAACTCATTAAATCAAGATATCCCATTGATATGCACGCATCAATTTGATCAATCGCTCGAAGCCATATGATCCTTTACATTAGTCCGTGCCCCCATTGACGGTTGTCTCTGCCGCCCTGCTGAGATCAGACTGCTGAAGGCAGTTTTGAGGGCTATTGGGCACTCGTATTGTCATATTCTCCCGTCTGATATGTCAATTTCTCCCTATATATATGCACATATAAATGGAGATATATATATATATATATATATATAAGAAGTGTCCCCATACTTATACAGAAGCTCTGGTCAAAAGTACAGAATTTCACCGTAAGCTTCAAATAGGTAATAAGGGTTGGAGTCATCGAAAGCGGTTCGGAACAAAGCTTCGCTGCCTTACTG